AGTGACAAACAAATATTAATAAAATTTTTATAAACAAAAAATGTATATGAATATATTTTGAAAATTTTTTATTTTATATCGACAGGAGTAGCAAAGCACGCCGGGTTTTAGCTAGTATATGTATATAAATATCATTAATTAATAAAATACTTTAAATATCAAACTTTCTTTGTCTTATTACTTTATGGTTTTGGATAGTGACAAACAAATATTAATAAAATTTAAAAAAAAAAAAAATGCATATAAATATATTTTGGAAATTTTTTATTTTATATCGACATACATACATACATACATACATACATACATACATACATACATACATACATACATACATACATACATGGCGAAAGTCCGCTCTTTTTCTAAAAAATGTTCTATTAGTTTCCCATATAAACCAATTTTTGTATTTTATTAATATGGGAGGTACTGCTCCCCTCATGGGTAGTCCGCCAATTTATTTCCCAAAATGTTTACATGGATGTTAAAGTTACTCGTGGAAATTTTTAATATTCTAACTATAATAGTTTCCAAGATAAACGAATTTTTGTATTTAATTTATATGGGAGGTGCCACGCCCCCTAATGCTAATCCGCCCACTTTTTGTCTTAAATAATTATATTGATACTAAAGTTGCTCCGAAAAAATTTGAAGACTCTAACTATTATATTATCTCAGATATACTAATTTAATATTTTCTTAATATGGGCGTGGCACGTCGCCCACATGAAATTTCAACATAAAAAGTAGCCTATAGTTCCTTCCAGACATACAGGAAGAAACTGTGAAAATTTCAGGAAAATCGGTCTAGCCGTTTAGGCAGTCTATAAAGCAAAAACATACATACATACATACATACATACATACATACATACATACATACATACATACATACATACATACATACATACATACATACATACATACATACATACATACATACATACATACATACATACATACATACATACATACATACATACATACATACATACATACATACATACATACATACATACATACATACATACATACATACATACATACATACATACATACATACATACATACATACATACATACATACATACATACATACATACATACATACATACATACATACATACATACATACATACATACATACAAACACACTTTCATTTTTATATATATAGATTAAATAAAGTTAAAAAAAAATAATTCAATATTTAGTTTATACCTCACCAAAGTTTTTAATTAATTAATATTATTTTTGTTTTGTAGAAAACCTTACTTTTTACATCAAAAAGTTTTAAAAAGTTTTCAATTTTTGATATGCCTGTTTTGTCTACTTTTCTACTATATGTAGTTTTTATATAATTTGAAATGTCTTCAATTCTTTCTGGCCCTTTTGAAGATATACTCCATAAAACGGAACACAACTTCGTACTTTAATGTAATCTTCATTGTAGATTTATTAAATATGGTACTTAAAATCTGAGAAGTTTACTTATATACCAATTCTTGTCATTTCCGATACAGGTATTCCAAAGTAAAAAATTACGAATTGTCTACCTATTAACATTTAGGACTATATTACTATAACCTGTAATTCAGTCATTGATATTTCTTATTAGTGAATGAATCGAAATTATCATTACCTGTATATTTTTACCTACATGATCATAAACGAAACAGAACGAAATGATCTGTTGAAAAAATTTAGGTAAAAAATAGTTATAAATTTTTGAAAATTTAAGCATAAGCATTATAAGGATAAGCAAACAAATAGAAAATAGGTAAATATAAGATTTAAATATGTGCTGTCATACTTAATACTAAATAGGGATGCCAATCGGGACTGGTTTGTAGAAATCCCGGGATTCGGGATTTTTAAATAAATCCCGAAATCCCGATATCGGGATCCCGGGATTTTCGGGATTTCTAAATCCCGAAAAATATAAAAAAAATTCAAAAAATCTTAATAATTTACCGACAAAAATAAAGTTTTATTTCATATTGCAATATGAATACTCTTAGTAGGTGTTTACTTTACAATAAGCATTTTGTGAAAAGAGAAACAAATTAATTCAAGTACATACTTAGAATAAAAATCTTTCCATCCCAGGCACTGAATAGTAGAATAAAAACCTAAAATAATACCCATGATATCCAAATTTACAATGGTTTCCAAATAATATTTAAATAGTATGTGTAATGGGGATCCATACGAGGCTACATAGAGCACCTGTACTGCACCTATATCTCCTCCACCTTATATTCCGTGTTCACTAACCAAGGGAATTATCTTCTCGCCATCTTATTGACAGGTTGACTTCCATTATAGATATCCGATAGTATCAATGCCTATTTATTGCCCTTTTTATACCCTTAGTAGGGATGGTATATTGGGTTTCTCCGGAGTAGTGCTTTTGTTTTATACTGTCCTAAAATACGCTGATGAAATTTGAAATGATCGGGCTTTTGATCCGAGCCCCCATATAAAACACAGCTTTAAAAAAGAATTAGTGTCCACAATTCGCTTAAAAAGAGAACTGTCGCAATGAAATTCAGCATAAAACATTTTATGTAATCGTAAATTCGCCCTCCAAATTTTATGAGGATCGACTCATATGATGGCGTTCTTCCCCCAAGCATATTTCAGAAAAATAGTTTTTTAACAATAAAGTGCTAGAATATATGGGAGGCGAGGTATACATTTATTATGAAAACTAAATTACATTTTACTCTCATAACTGGTGTATGGGGTTATATGGTCGGCCTCGCCCGCCTATAATTTCGTACTTGTTATTTTTATATATCCGATAGTATCTATGCCTATTTAGTATAGCAATGAAATTTGATATTAGTAAATCCCTGACGAGCCAAAACCTCTCTACCAAATTTTATGTGGGTCGGTTCATAATTGACCCTACCCCCATATAAGGTCCCGTTAAAAAATGTCTTTAACGCTCATTACTGGCTTAAAAAAGTATAGCGATGAAATTCGATACACATATGTTTCATGCGAGTCAAAACCTCTCTACCAAGTTTTATGTGTTTCGGTCCATAATTGACCCTACCCCTACATAAGGTCCCATCCAGATAAATACTTTAACGCTCATTACTGGCTTACAAGTACGAGTGTAGAGATGAAATTTGAGATAAGTAAATTTCTTACTCGCCAAAAGCTAAGAAACTTTTATAGGAACGTAAATCTTCCTACCGGAAAGTGTATGAACCAAAATTGGTCTAAAAAAATTATGAAAAATTTTATAAAAACGGTCAATGATTCACCCTACCTCTCATATAAGATCCTATCAGTAAATTTGATGAGTAATATCACCCTGATGTTTATAGAAAAGCATATTCGGCATAGCCGAATATAGCACTCTTACTTTTTTTTTTTTGATATTTCAGCTTGTAAGTTAGTAGAGTCATCTTAAGTCCAAAAACTTTTAAAATTCCCTTATTTAGTACTTTATAATGTATAAAATAGCGGAAAAAATACTTAAAAATTCGGGATTTTAAAATCCCGAAATTTCCCGGGATTTCATTTTTTAAAATCCCGGTTTTCGGTACTTTCAAATCCCGAAAATCCCGGGATTTTCGGGAATCGGGAATTCCCGTTTGGCATCCCTAATACTAAAATATGAAAAAGATGAAATTAAAGGACACAGGTTTAAATGAACATATTTTTGAATGTAATTGAGATATTGGCTTGAAATTTTTTGTAAAGGGTCGAGAATTTCCATATCTAACTAAAAAATGATATTAAGGGATAAATATGGACTAAATTGTTGTAGCTATCTGCGATCCTATTAAAATTTTGATATAAATCATAGTTTTAGAAATTAAACAAATATGTAATATATGACAAAATCTTTATTTATGAACAAAACTCAATGAAATTTTCAACGCTTGTTAAATTTGTCATTTCAAATAAGAATATAAATATATAAAAAAAATTGAAAAGGTCAAAGGGCATCCCGCAATTCCCAAAAATAGGAATGAAAATCCCAAAAATGGGATTTTTTACTTTTTTGCCCATAGGGTCCACATTTCTTTCAGGGCTGGGAAAATACTTTTGGAGTAAATAGAAAACATATTGAGGTTTCCAAAACTGCTTTCAGTTTTCTGATCCCAGCTTTGGGATTTTAGAACATGTCGCCCAAAGTTGAAGTTTTGATAAAAAATAGGTCATATTCGGAAGGACGCAGTGGCAACATTTTCAAAAAATAGGACAAGTTTTTTACGCCAAAGCGTTCTGCGTAAAGATACCTTTTAGAAAACTATAAAATTGTTATATGTTCTTAATAAAAATTTTATTTTATTAATAAAAGAGTTAAGACACATTTTTGGCAAAAAAACGCCAAAAATCTAAAATTTTTTGAATTTTTAAATTAAAAAACGTATATTTTTGGATCTGTAAACAATATTGATCTGAAATTTTTTGTATATTATTGGAAATTTTGTTGTCTAACTAACAAGAAAAAATTGAGTCCATTTGGACCAAAATTACGCCCGGTATTCAAAAAAAGGCGGACCAAGGTATGGTAAATTTTGTATCACTAAATTTTTAAATGCCTATAACTCGGATATTATAAGAGATAAATAGTATGTCCAAGCATGTTTTTTCAAGATCTCGTCGAGCGCTTTCACAAAATATAAAAATCTTTGTATTTGGGTGAAAAACAAAAAAATGGCACGAGTTTAAAAATTTTACATGTCGTAGGTACCCTACTTTGAGCCGCCACAGCGCCGTCCCTGGCGCATCTGCAGGGTTCATCTTCAAAACTTAAACTCGAATACTCCTTGGCTACGCTCACGCCAAATTTTATCCCGATCGAATCAGCCGTTTAGAAATGCCAGATTTATTTCCAAAAAATTTCCATTCTGCCCCACTGTGCCTTGTTAAATAACCAAAGTTAAATGTAGTTGCTGAAAATTTAAAAAAAAACATAATTATACAAAGTTAAATTTTAGGCTATCTGTAATCAAATCTTACCATGTATTTCGTCTCAAACAGTTTCTATATCATTCAATATAGTTGATAGAGCAGTGCATCTTTCATTATTTTGTACCTTTATTTCAAAAAAAAAAATACTCTTGTATAAATAGCCAAATTCATTTACAGTTTTGCGGATATTTTATATTAATGGTTAGGTTAGGTTGATAGGAGGATGTATACTACATCAAATCCGAAGAAATACACCTAGGCCACTATCGGGCCTGTTGTGCATAAAAAAAAAAGTTCACTGAATGAATTATTTTTCAGTCTTCAGAAACTCAGTTTCCTGAACTTAATTCCTAAGAATCTTCCAATCAGTGTTAGTCAGGGATGTTATTTCCGGAATAACATCACTTCCAAGATACTGGCTCGAGCTCCCTTCCCTTTAAAGCTATTACATTCGCCCTTTCGTTTCCGACTATTCCCGAGTGGGCTGGTACTCATATGATGTGAACCTTACCTCTGGGAGAGTATTCAGTTAAAGCTTTCTTACAATCCAATACGGTCTTAGATTTAGTTCTATCAGCTGATATCGCCCTAATTGCCTTCTGGCTGTCGGTAAATATATTAAGCGCTGTGGGCGTCATATTTATTCTAATCCAACTTACGCATTCCGTTATTGCTCGTACTTCTGCCTGGAAGCTTGTGTTATGATTTGGTAAACGGTGGTATATTTCTGTTTCTGGGTCTTCAATATAGAATCCCAGTCCCACTTTGTCCCCCAATTTAGAGCCATCCGTGTAACAACGGATTCCTACTGGTATTTGCTCTAATATACCGCTTGACCAAGATATTCTATCTGGGACCAGCGTTTCAAAGTTTAAGACATATTCTGTGTCTGGTATACGATCCGGCACGTCCGATGATTGTGTATAACCTTCCAATGTGTCCAGTATACATTGATGACGTGTCCTATAACCGCTTTTGGCCAGTTCGCCTAAAGTAAAGAGCCGCTCGGCTGTAAGCGCCGCCTCATATCTTAAATATGTTTCAATGGGTGGCATATCTAGCAACGTTTCCAGAGCCTTGGTTGAAGTAGTACACATGGCACCACTTATACCCAAGCAGCATGTACGCTGAACTCTGTAGCAGTTTGGTATTGCACTTTTTGTCCAACGCAGTCCACCAGATTATTGAAGCATAAGCTAGAATTGGTCTAATTACACTTTTATAAAGCCAATTTGTCATAGTAGGACTAAGACCCCATTTTATGCCTATAGTTTTCCTACATATCGCCCAGCACCGATGTGCCTTGTTGATCCTATCCTCTATGTGGTGTCTCCATTTTAATTTCCGGTCGACCTAAGTACTCCGGTAAACCTAAGTACTTAACTTTGTCTGTCACTGGTATCTTCTTGCCCAGGAAGCAAGGTTCAGTGTACGTAGAAATTTTTGTCTTTCTTGTGAAAAGACAGATCTCCGTTTTTGCCGGGTTAACATTGAGGCCTCTCGGTTGAGCCCAGCTCAAGGCCGTATTCAGAGCCTCCTCAGCTCTTCTACACAAGTAATTTGGATCCTTTCCCTTTAAAAGTATTACGACATCGTCTGCATAGCAGACAGCTCTAAGTCCTTTCTCGGTTAGGGTCCTTAGGAGGCTATTAATCGTGGTAACCCAGAGTAAAGGTGACAAAATGCCACCCTGTGGTATACCGCGAAATACCTTTTTCCTGATAGTTATATCGTACATCTCGAAGCTTATCCATCTGTTCCTTAGCATGTGGTTGATCCAGTTACGGAGCACCCGGTCAACGTGAAACTGGTCTAGGGATTGGATAAGAGTATCAGTGCACGTTATTGAAGGCGCCTTCGATGTCAATGGATACCGCCAGTGTATACAGTTTGCTATCGAAGGAAGCACCTATGTAGTGGACAACTTCGTTTAAAGCGGTTTCCACTGATCGTCCCTTTACATAAGCATGCTGCTTATAATTAAGGTCTTTTTCTGGTATACTGCATTTAACCATACTATCGACTATCTGTTCCAAGGTTTTAAGTAGGAAGGCCGTAAGACTTATCGGTCGATAGGACTTAGGTGTCGCATAGCTAGGTTTTCCTGGTTTGGGTATAAATATTACCCTTGCATCCTGCCATTCAAGCATGCAGTGAATATTTGTGACAGATATACGGAAACCAGTCCCGCTTCCATCTGCAAAAGTGCCGGGAAAATGCCATCCGGTCCTGCAGCTTTATAGGGAGCAAAGCTCTCGATTGCCCCTTTAACCATGTCAGATGTAATAACTATTTCCGTATTAGCCTCCCCTTCCTCGAATATCGGTTCATCTATGTTATTCGATATACCGGGTGGGAAATGAGAGTTTATTAGGAGTTTCATTGTCTCCTCCATATCCTCCAGCCTCCTGCCCATGTCATCGATCATAGATTCCGGCTGAACATGAGTTTTGGATAGGAACTTTTTTATCTTCGATACGTCATTTACGCTATCTACCTGTTCACAGAAAAGTTTCCAGGAGTCTCGTTTGGCTTTTCGAACGATTTTCTTATATTCACCAAGTTTATTACGATACTCATCCCAGTATACTGCGGTCTTTTTACGCCGTGCCCGGTTAAATAGTTTGCGAAGAGTCTTCCCAAGGTTCCGGATCTCCCCGGTTACCCAGGGTTTCTCCTGGGCAGATCTCCGCTCTCGCAGAGGGCAGCTGTCCTCGAACGATTCAATCAGGGCATTTGTGAACGTTTCTACTTTGTCGTCTATATCCTCCTTATTTCGACATTGAAAAGTGTCCTGACCTAAACGGTTCTTTAGTAAGGTCCCGAACATTGTCCAATTAGTTTTAGACTTATTCCGAAACTTTATTGGCTTTGGTGGTGGTCTCAATATTTTGAATCTTATGTACCGATGGTCAGAAAAGGAGTGCTCGTCCGAAACTCTCCAATCCTGAATTTCGGTTATAAGCTCTTCTGAACATATAGTTATATCTAATACTTCTTCTCTGATTCTATTGACAAAGGTAGCTTTATTACCTAAGTTCAATATGATCAAGTCTTTAGTATTAAGAAAATCCATGAGGGCTTGTCCCCTGCGATTGGTGTTTGTACTACCCCAAGCTACATGGTGGGAATTTGCATCACAACCTATTGAATTGAATATTTTGAGCGATAGATCTACGCACGATTTTATATTCTGCAGCTTATAAAAAATGTTTCCAAAATATACATAAAATTCATGTAAATCAAGTACGGATGATCCAATAGCGCAAATAAATGGCTGCAAAGATTGTTTCTGTGCAAAATATTCATCAACTAAAAGTTTAACTTTTGTGTTAAGTTCAGAATTATTAGATGCGTATAAAAGGAATGATTTTTTTGAATCTTCAACTGAAACCTTTTCATATTTTCTTCTCTTTTTATCAATTAAAATGCATTTTCTCGATGATGGTTTTAAAACTGAGTGAATGAGATCTAGTACAACACAATCTCTTACATCTGAAAATGAAATAAAAACATAAAAATCGAAATAAAAAATTATAGAATAAATTTTATGATTAAATTTAACTATAAGTTTGATCGACATGCAATGGTCTTTGTTTTGTTTTATATGCTTATAGCCAATGCTTCTTAATTTTCTAAATAGCAAATGTCAAACAATCGATTACTATAGTTAGTAATAACTAAATATACGATATAAATACTTGGGGTTAAATCAAAATAAGATATAAAGATTAAAAAAAAAAATATTTTTAATAAAGTTTACTAATTCTTAGAAATTTTATTTACCAGAAGTGAACTCAGATCCTTTAAATTTTGACATTATATCCAAATTACTTTGTTCTTTAACATCTCGCTCTATAATTTTAAATATCTGCTTACAAAATGTCTCCCATTTTACATCAAGTAAATGTTCTCTTCCTGGAAACATTTTTGAAAAGTCCGACAATATCTACATATTTGTATACAAAAATATTATGCTATGCTATCGTTATTCAAAAATGAAACAACTAACTAAATTATATCCGAAAGATTGTTTGTACAAAGGCCATTCAGTAAAAATAGTATCCAAACCAATTTCTGCTTCTTTCAGGAAGTTTCTTCTGATATCAAAAGTATTGTCCCACTTTTTAACGACCTCTGACATTGGCTCAATATTAATCATTAGCCACTCTTTATCTATTAACATGTCTTTTTTATTTGATATAGCATTTTCGTCTGTAATTTTAATAATTAACAATATTATACAAAATATGAATATATGTATAGTATAAGAAGAGTACAAAATATAAAAATAAAATTTATTAAATTAAATACGTATATTTAAAAATGTTTGTCAATAGTGTAAACAATTTTAAAAAACGTACTTCAGAATTACCTGTTACGTAATGAATTGTGATAATTTGTGACACACTGCTTCTGTGGCTATGGAACACTAGAGGTCCTTAGACTTCCAAACTAGACTATTTAAAAGTTTTTGTTACAAACCATCGCATCAGTAGTGTACGATTTTTTAGAAATTAACGTAACTGCCATGTTCATAAACGATTAATAAAACAAATGAAGCTTTAAAATTTACCATGATTTTTTCAAATTATTCGTTTATGAAAAAGGTAAGGTCATATTTTCTTAAAATAATGAGAAATTTCTTTTGTGTACTTTAATACAAGTATATAAAAGAAAATTACTTTTTATTTTAGAAAATATGCCTCAATATTAATTGAAAAATGAATAATCTTTAATACAGGTGGGCTAGTTTAAATTTTATGAAACAAACAATAATTACATAAAAGCTCAAATTAAAAAATTGTCTACACATTTTCAACAAATTTTAAATATACATAAAACACACAAATATTAAAAACTGTTTAGTACTTGCGGATTCCACTTCTACATTTTCCAAAGTATCTGAGCTATTTTCTAGAAATTTTCTGAGACCTTTTTTTCTTAAATTCGACAAAGCGTTGTGGTACTTGCTATACAAGCAGCATCCTGGCTTTCTTCCCTTTTTGGGTATAAAATATAATTCCTGTTTGCAAGTAAATATTTTACAAATATATAACTTAATCTTTAAAATAACAACTTACTTTGTTTTCTGTTGTAAAATATTTAACTATTTTCTCAGCAATTTTATCAAAATATTTTGGAGATGGATTTATTTTATTTTCAATAATGTGTGCTGTTACACAACTTGCAATCATTCTCTGAAACTTTGTAATTAATTTTTTATTTTTGCCATAGTAACTTAAAACCGATTTTCCGGAAAGTGGTGTTTTTAAAACGTCTTCAATATTAAACTATTTTTTATGCATACATATTAAACAAATTATTTTAATTATATATGAAGAAACTTACCTCTTCTTGATCTAGTAATAGGCTCTCTGAAGTCTGTTTCGGAAAAGATGATGATGATGTCTCACTTTGCCAAATTTTAAGGTGGTGTTTAAAAATTATTCTTTTACCAAACAGTTCTTTGGGTACTATAATGTCTAAATGACTTGGTGTCATATATTTTAAAGCATTTGTCTCAATGTTATGTTCTAAAAGTAAACAATGTCATTGTTTTAAACCAGTCACGAGCAAAACTGAAATTCTAATGCACGCGTGCATAGGCCAAGAAATTCTGCTGACGCTTTGTTGACACACCTACACTATAAGCTTGTGTGTATTAGTGTGTCTGTGTTTTACTAAAATGACCAGTTGTTTGTTGCTTTGTTACGATCTCAGAGATCAAAATCAAATCAGTTGCTGTTCAGCTTTTGTAGAAGCAAGATCACGTTGCGAATTTTTTTATGCTTATGATTTTTTCTCTTTTATTACACCTAGCAAAATGTTTGATATAAATTGGGAAAATGATTTCTTTTTTATAGAAAACATGGACGGTGAGGCACAATGCGTCGTATGTTATAAAATTATATGTAGAAAAGCTTTATTTTTTTTGAAAAGGCATTATGTAACTTGCCATGGACCCTTAAATGACCTTAGGGGACATGACAGAAAAGTAAAGTTGTTAAAAGCAGAGTTTTTCTTAAAATTTATAATTAATGAAACAACAGCAAATAATTGCAACAATCTTCCTTTAAATAGCCAAAAAAAATCATTGCCTCATAAAAAGGCATCTTATGTAGTTGCTTTATCGTTAGCAAAACAATGTCGCCCATTTGAGGATAGCATTTTTTTCTTAAATTTAACTACAGATATTTTGAGTTGTTTTGGAGAAAAATGCCATGAAACTATGAAACTCTGCCAGGATATACCATTATCTCGTCGTACTATAACAAGAAGAACGGAAGATATAAGCAAATTTATTAAAATGTCAGCAAAAGAAAGATTAATTAATTGCAAATATTTTTCGATTTCTCTAGATGAGAGTACGGATATCAATAATATTTGCCAGTTAATTATTTGTATTAAAACAGTTAATGCAAATTTAGAGTGCTTCGAAGAAATGTTTGAAGTGGTTTCACTTCATGGTCATGTAACAGGACAAGTTCTGTATGATGCATTAGATGTTAATGTTTTTGCATTTGCTGACAAAAATAAATTAGCCTCAATATGTTCGGATGGAGCAAAGGTAATGAGAGGCAAAAATAAAGGACTTTTGGGCATTTTAAACAAAAATGGAATAAATTGCCCAGCATTCCATTGTGTCATACACCAACAAGCTTTTTTCTCCAAAGAGTTGGGTATGAAAAATACAATGAATGTTGTTGTAAAAATAATAAATATAATAAGAGGGGGGCACAATTCTCTGACACACAGAAAATTTAAAGATTTTCTAGAAAACCTTAATTCGGATTATGGAGATTTACTTTTATATACCGAAGTCCGTTGGCTAAGTCGAGGCAAAAGTTTGGAAAGACTTTTCCATTTAAGAAAAGAAGTACTCGAATTTTTAAAAACTTTATCCAATAAAGATACAAAACACCTTACTAATTGTCTTGAAAATCCCGACTTTCTATTAGATTTCGCATTTTTATGTGATATTACCGAGATATTAAATGACCTTAATTTATGCCTGCAAGGTAAAAATATAAAAATATTTCATTTGAATAGAATTATTCACCAATTTAGTACAAAATTAGATCTCTTAATAAATCAATTAAAAAGTAATAGTATATCAAATCTTAAGAAAACTTCATCAATATTCATAGAATTTAATTTTAATACGTTTGATTGTATTCAGAAATACGCCAAAATAGTTGAGTCCATAAAAAAGAATTACAATGACAGATTTTAAGACTTAAAATTTATAAAAAAAACAATAGAAATACATGATAATCCCCTTAGATGTGAAATAGAAGAGCAAGATGCTTTTCTTCACGAAGAATTGCATAAAATGCGTAATGATTTTGAAGTTCCTATGGAATCTGGGGAAAAATTTTGGCAAAAGATAGATGAAACAAAATATTTCAATTTAAAAAACGAAATATATAAGCTATATTCCATGTTTGGCACCACATATAACTGTGAGGTGGCATTCTCAAGTATGAAACTGATTTTAAGTAAATTGCGGAATAGGTTAACCGATCAACACATTGGTGACTTATTGCGTATTAAGGAATATAAAGGAAACATTGATTTGGATAGATTAGTTGAACTTTAAATTAAGTTCAGTTAATATCTCGGTAATATCCCTTAAAAGTTCGAAATCGAATAGAAAGTCGTGATTTTCTTAATTATATTTCAGTAGTTTTATTTAATACTACTTTTTAAAAATACTACTACTTTTCTTAAATGAAAAACTCTTTCCCTTTATTCCATTTTTGTTTAAAATGCCCAAAAGTTCATGAGTTTTTCTCGTCGTAAAAAGTATTTGCAATAGAAAACAAATTTCAAAACTTTTCTCAGTGTACCACCATTTTGTTATAACGTGCAGTCATCTCTCTGCTGCTTAACGCACACAAATATACACATGGTGGTATGTGTTTGCCCATGACTGTTTTAAACAGATACTAAAATAATTATTATCTATGAATTCTTAAACATAGCATTTTTATTGTATTGGACTATATACATACATATGTATATATTTATAACACGCTTTAATTTTTAAATTTCTGATTTTTATTTTTTGACAGAAATAATAATTATTTTTCCATTTTTATTGTTTTTTTTTTTGCAGAAATAATTATTTTTTGATTTTTATTTTTTTACGAAAAAATAAAAATTATTTTTTCACTTTATATTGAAAATATGTAAATCAACAAATAGGCGTGATTGACAAACATTTGTTTACATAAATTAACAACAATATGAAATTATAAAATGTATCCGAATACATCATACCCTACAACATTGCGAGTAAACTGCAGTAAGTTATATAATAGTTTTTAATGTAGAAGTTATTTTTAAGAGATTTATGTTTGCTTAACTAATTGAATGCTTTAGCACAATTGTGTATGTATGTATGTATCCAATGTTCAAACAAATTTTTCAGAATACATTTTTAAAAATTCTAAAAAAGTAGAGGGAGTTAAAAATAGGTAACAAAATTCACATACTGAGAAATTAAAAAATATAAAATAAGAATATTGTTTTACATAGTTACCTTTAAAAATATCCAAAAATATATCTCCCTTAAGCAATGTCAATATGTCTTTTAAAGCATCTTCTGATTCCATGATTCTGGTATTCTAATTCACCAAATGAACAACAAAAAATATGTAATTAAAAGTAAAATTTAAAACACCAAAAATAAAATAGTATAAAACTTTCTTGTTCCAATAATAACTTACCAGATAAAACGGGACACAGATTTCTTTTCTATATTTATTTTAATTCTTCTTCAAACACATTATATAATAGTTAATGAACTGAAAATTTATTGTCTATAATAATTAATATTGTATTATTTCTGTTCTAAATTAAGTCACTTTCAACTTTTCTCACTTATTGCAACACAACTTATTAAAAATACTTTAATTTGTATTTATTTGTTAAAATTTATTTTATTATTTTAATTTGTTCACTTTTTTAAACTTCATAATCAACTTTTTTCAACTCTTACAAGTTAGGAATGAAAACTAAAAGAAAATGAATAACAGTTACTTTTATCATTCCATTACTATTCAGCATGGATGGCAAATGAAATTTTTTAATTGTACCAAATAGCAATAAAAATAGTACTTTTTGATCATAATTGTACCATCACACTAAGTTTGAATTTATACCAAATGAATGATTGTACTTTTAAGGATAAAATTTTACAAAAACCTGTGCCAACCCTGTTACACAGTGTTGCTTATTTTCGCTATTATCAGTATACTCCTTTTCTAGCTTTCGTTTATTTTTGATACATATTTAGTAATGCCAACGCTTTTGAATATGTGTAATTTGAAAATTTACGAAACATATAAAATATTAATATTACATGAATTTTATCATTTAAACAATTAAAATTGTAAATTATTATTACTATTCATAAAAACAAGCTTATTACAGCTTATTGTTGTTTATATTTAACAAAAATTAACTTGCTTTGATGCATAATTTAAAGAAGTCAAAACCTCTATATTAGCATTATCTATGCGTTTATTATTTTACAATGTATTTTAATAAAGGGACCGCATCGCAGAGAAACCATTACTGTCACTTTTATATATGGAGTTTGACAGTAAACTGATATTGTTTCATGAAAATTTATACTAAATGTAAGTAAAATTTTACTTACATTTATTTATTTTATCTACACTAATATTTAAGGAAGTAATCATAATTGTTTCATGAAAATTTATACTAAATGTAAGTAAAATTTTACTTACATTTAGTAATTATCTTTAATTTCAAACTAATATTTAATAAATTATATTTCTAAAAAAGGTATGTTTGTACTACATAGTTATGATTAATAGAAACTTCAATTTAAAAAACGTTATCTGAACTAGTTTTAAGGAAAAGCTTCATAAAGTTAATATGTTACTTTTTGTTAGTTGCTATAACTTTTATTCAATAATAGAAAATTATATACTATTTTACTTCTTAATTTATATGAACAATACTTTTGGAACAGGTTTTTTAAAATTAGTAAATATTGAACTCAAAATACATAATAAATTTTTACTAAAATAAAAGACATATTTCTCAATATTAAGGAAACATTTCAACTAAAATAAAGATGACCATTTGCAAATTTTAAGTATGTTCAATTTTATGAACTAAATAGGAGTAAATTGTTTACTTAACAATTTTTTTGAACTAAAACTAAATTTAACAACTTTTATTTAGCAATTTCCTTAAGTTTAGGAAATATGTCTTAAACTTTAATAAATGGTATTTTGCAGTCAATAACTTTCTCCTAAAATTTAACGGCTGTATTTATAAAAACTTATTTTAGGTTTATTAAACAATTTTAGGCAAAATTCAGGAAAATCGTATTTACAAACGTGAAATAGCTTAAAACACCTTCAATAAACCATTGACAATTAGAAGAATTTTATTGTAGGCTCGACCCTTCTTTAAGCCAACAATAAGTTGATTTTTAACAATTTTTTTCTCAGATAAAGATTTTTCCGGTAATTTTAGGTTGATTGCGAAAACTAATTATGGTTTCTTTTAAAATAAAATCTAAAAATTCTAATTTTAACGTTTACAAATTTGTAAATAAAATCCCAGAAAATTTTTAAACGATTATATTTTGAGGAAAAAACTCAAATCTAGGCATTATTGGATTAATGCATGAATATTTGACAATATTCCAATTGTCCAGCACTATTTTAGGCAATTTGGAAATGCCCGTCTGTCAACCAAATGATGGACAAAATCATTTGATTTGGCTTTTTTAAAGTTTGTTGGTTAAATATAATGCCATAAAGTAATTAACCATGTAAATTATATTGATTAGTGTTATACTAATGCAAAATATATTCGCCGGCATTAAAATTAGTCAAATATCAAAGAAATTTATCAATATATGCAAAAATTTATCAAAAATTACAAGGAAAATAAGTAAAAATAAGAAAATGTATCATAGTGATGTATATTTTGTCGCAAAATATCCGTTATTCGGATACTTTTAATAATAATTAGAAATTATATGTTATATTTATACATCTGAACTAAATAGACATTTATTAAAGCCATATATATATTTATTTTTCTTAAAAGTTTGTTTTTATTGTCAAAAATCTATTATAAACAAAAATATGAAATTAAGAAAACCGAATCAACGAATATTTTATCCTAATTGTACGCAACACTAACACATAAAATGACAGCCATATTGTACAGTGCTGCCAACTTAAACATAAATCAGCACAATAGTTAATATACGTTTATTATTTGTTTATGAATATCACAATTTTATAATTGGTTTTTAAGGCTAAAGTGTGCTTTAACTATTGAGTGCATTAAAAGCAGAAAAAGATTTTTTTATAAATACAAGCGTAATAGTTTTTCAGAGGAAAAAATAAACTAATTTCATGTTGATGAACTATTCTGTAGGAACACTTTTTCCTTCTGTTTAGTACACATCTTTTTTCTGAGTGTAGGTTCAATATTATAGAAAATTAAAAAGTACCTTTTGAAGAACACTTTATCGTTCCATGTTGTATATTCTCATTAAACGTTTAATTAATACTAGTAAAATATCGAAAAATATTAAAACTTTTTAAATATACAGAGCTTAAATTTTTAGATCATAGATAGAAACGAAAAATGTCTAAAATCTGCTTTTAATTTCTCAAAAAAAATATGTTTCAAAAAGTATTAAACTATTTTTAGAATTTGGTCTTATATAGGCCTTGTTATAAAATGCCATTATCTTATTTCGAGTGACTAAATTAATTAATTTTACAAAATTTATCACAACTGGCTCAATAAGTATGAATAAAAATAAGTTTTCCGATTTTTCCATTTTTTTTGGTACATATTTAAGTAAAAGAAATTGTGTTCCAAAACTTGTAGTGAAAGCCCGTAATTATATAAATATACATATATGTATGTTGGTAAATAGGAAAAAATGTTTTATTAAAATTGTACCAAAAATGGGTACGATTTTACCCCTTAAATGTTCGAATTTCTAAAAGTACTAAATTTGTATTTGTTATTTTTTGAAAGGTTACGAATGTGATATAAAATTTATTATTATACGTATCATAATTCTAATGAGAAAATAATTTTTAAAAAAAGGTACCAATTTTAGAAACCGTTTTCATCCCTTCATTACCAGAATTTCTAAAAAGTACCGAAAGGATTTCTAACAGACTTTAATTAGAATAGGATAAATTTAAAGTTTTATTTGTATGGTCATTTGTTTCGAAGATAAATAGGTTAAGAGAAGGTTCTATGGGGACAGTTTTTAAACTTTTAGATCTATAAAGTCTAGATTTTTAAAAAAGTACCAGACACCTATCAATTATTTTTTTGTATAATAGAGGATACATTTAGAATTATATTTATATCTTTGCTTCTTTAGGAGATATAAAGGATAATAATTTTACCCTTTTTACCCATTTCTGCCCCTAAACGTTCGAGTTTCCAAAAATCCCTTCTTAGTGGATCTATACAATGCCAAAGGAACCTATAACCAAAATTTCATGATTCTAGCTTTAACGGTTTGGGCTGGGCGATGATGAATCAGTCACGCAAGCCTTTATATATATAGATGTTCAAATATGAAATACTAGAAAAATTCGAATACTTTTGTGAGGTAATTTTATGGACTTTTTTAAAAAAAGCTAAATTAAGTTAAGTAAATGTAATTTTTCCAAGTTTTAAAAAGTGTGATATCAAACCTTAGGACTCTCTAGACAATATAACAAATTAATTTATTAATTTTACACACAAATAATATCATTAAATTGTGTTTCTTTTCAAAGTACACCTAAATTCGAATATTTATGTGAGACACTGTATATCATATGAAAGAAAAGGTACTTAAATTTTATTTGAGATACAAATCATCTCGAATAAAATGAGCAAGGCGAATGCAGATAAGGTTGTGTTATTCAATCAGCTGATTATTTGTTTCTTCACCTTACTGGTACGCACTGATGTAATAGTTTGTTATTGTTTACATTTTTATTTTTTTAATTTCGGTTCGAAATCTTCACAAAAAATTATTTTATATAAAATTCAATGTAAAGAAATTTCTTTCACTATCTGTTTATTTAATTTAAGAAATTATGAATGCGGGGACCAATGAATCAGCTGTCAGGAACCATACGCCAAATTTAACGGTAAAAAACAAACGTTATCATAAAATATGTATGAAGTAAAAAGTATATTTTATATTAATTTACCTGTTTACCTCCTGCAAAAAATTTAAATATTGCTCGAAATTTGTGCTAAAAATCGGTGGATTAACATCATCTATAAGTGGATCAAAAAATTGTTCGGTTCGAAATCTTCTCAAAAAATATTTTATATAAAATTCAACAATGTAAAGAAAAATCTTTCACTATCTTTTTATTTTATTTAAGAAGTTTTGAATGCGGGACCACTGAATCAGCTGTCAGGGAACCATACGCCACATTAAACGGTAAAAAAACAAACGTTATCATAAAATATGTATAAAGTAAAAAGTATATTTTTATATTAAGAATTTCATTTATAAGTAAAAGTTTCAAATTAAATGCAAAAACGCCATTTAAAAATCATAGCTTATGTCCCCAGTGCAATATTT